TTAAAGGCGGTTTTACTTTAAAAATTGGTAGCACCGGATAGAAGCAAGTTGAATAAAATATGCTCAGCTGTTTGGGCGATTGAGGCTCTATGAACAGAAAAGTTGGGAAATTCGTAGCAATTTTGCCCGAATTGTTGCGAATTTACAATAGAACATCGACGCCTAAGAGAGATTTATCAAAGAAATGCAAATTTCAAAAATTACTTTAAAGCTCAAATTCCAAAGAAATATAAAACATTTGGTTTGCCTTTCCAGTTGGTTTGTGAGAGAAAATTATTTTCTTCGGCTAAAACCCCTCGAAAAACTGACCAGTTTCATCTCCGTCAAAGTTCATTTAAGCGCTTGAAACTGATGAGTTTTTCGGACTTATAAGCAAATGTTTTGCGATTCTTCGAAATCTGAGTTGGTTTTAAGCAAGTTTTGAACCTGAAAAACGTAAATGGAATGTCAATAGTTGCATATTTGCAAATTTTTGATCTTGGGCGACGTTGTCTAATTGAAAAATTGGGAAATCTCGAGAAAATTTGCCACCGATTTTCCGATTTATTTACTAAATAGAGCCACATTCTATTGATCCGCTTACGATACGCGTTTTTTTTTTTAGTTGAGAACTTTTTTTTTAGAACACGAGGGTTTGCATCTTCAGACTGGACCAAAATTCCCAAAAAACTCAGATATTGCCAGTTATTTAACCACAATCCGCCATCCGGACTGCGCTCTCACTATCGCGTTCTGTTGAATCGACCCTGGTACATCGGCAACGTACGACAAAGACAGACTCATTTCCATAGCAACCGCTGTTTTTGTTTCTCTCGTCTGCGACTGGCCAGCGTCGGTTTGACTACGAGGTGTCATCGAAATTGATGCTCGTTCATGGCACGATGAGCGATAAGCCCGAAAAACTCACAAAATCTCGCCAGACTCAAAAAAACCTTCTTAAACTCCAGATTTGTGTGACTATCGCACTGAAAGCGCAAAAAAACGAATGACACTTCTGAAGATGCTAGTGCTGTGTGCTAATGAAACGTCGGGAGCCAAGTTCACACTCGCTGAACTAGTAGCCAGAGATTGTAAAAAACATCGGTTCCTTCTTAGCACCTAACGGTCAGTTATTCTTATGCAAAACCATCGGATAAATCCGATCCGAATCAGAAGCAGCGGGGACTCTTAACTGGGATTAATCGTAATTGCTGCCGCTACAAAAACGTTTACTGTACCGGAACTGTCAGTTATCCGGGCCGTGTAAATAAAAAGCATTTAGCGAGAGTATGTGAGAAAAAGAACAACAGGATACAACAATGGCTCATTAGTTTTACCAGCGGCAGGAGAACGACGAGAAATCAGCCATCACTTCCAATTGCAGGAAATAATTGCCGCTCGTCTTCTGCCATGCACACTTGCGCTTAATTGAATCATAACTGCCAATTCTTCCCGTCCAGCGTCTTCCTGTTAACGTTCAGTGATCTATTGGAAGGCAATTCGTCAAAACTTCCATGAGTTTCACGCATTTCGTTGGGCTCAGCGACAAAGTGCTGCTGGGCTAATTGATCCAAGTGGTCCTGAATGCACACTTTTAATATAAAGCATGTGTTTTTATTGATGTTCTGGTTTATATTCCGGCCGAAGAACAAAGACGCTGGGTGTTTGATGCTCAAAGTCCGAAATTTGGTGCCTTGAACGGTTCAAAATTAGCGCTGACTCGGACGGGAAAGTCCCATTTAACACTGTCAAATCGAGCGCATAGAGATCTCCCAGAGATAAATGGTAGGAAGACAATAATAGATAGAAATCTCATTTGGCCCCGGCACGCCCTTTACCTTTTTACCTAAGAAAGGGCCATTGAGACGATGATCACGTACTTTTACTTTCACGAAACACCGACCGAAAATGCGTAATGGCCCTTTCAAGTTTCGCAGATAAGGAGCTTTGGGTTGATCCGTTGACCAGACAGTGTTTTGGAATTTACCATCATCATTCCTTCCTAATTTTGTCTCGTCGTTGTCAACTAGGGTCAGGATTTTTTTCGACTTCAATAAGCAAAACTAACTCTCCTAATTATGATTGCCCCTGGTAACACAGCAGAATCATTCCGGATTGTCGTTGAATTAGTTCAGCAGTTTTAGAGCAAATTAGACAAAAATTCCGACTTCGTCTCGTGCGAAACTCAAAAATAATTAAAGCGGTTCAGGTGGCAAGTTGGAACGTAGCGACGCGCCAGGCATCGTGCATCTCCCTTGAATCCTATGAGCGCGAGTGACTTAACCGATTACCGACTGGGAGTGACTAAGTTCCAGAATGGGAAAATTAGATCTGTTTCTGGATTCGAATCAGATTTGTCTGCTTCCGAGTGTGAGCATCCAAAGGTGTTATCGATATATATAGCTTTAGGATCAAACAGCAAAATCGAGCACAAAAGCGCATGAAAACTGTACAAGGAATCAAAATAGCACACTTTTGATGGCCATTGTTTTAAGTGGACAATGATGATTGGCCATCTGTTTGCATGATTCACTATCTCCATTGGTCGCCAAGGTCTGTTTTGATTCCAACAATTAGACGACTTTGTTTAAACAAATGCAGCTGACCTTAGTAGACAGCGGGATGTTATTGACAATTTCATCAAAAGTTGCGGAATCGGTGTATGCGGTTTAGTCAAGCGAGCAACTTCTAATCGGGTTTATCACACATGTTCTCATAGCGATAACGGCTTGAAACCACAGCAGCCAGTAGCTGATATTGACTGAGTATTCCTCGATTTTAGGCGAGGGCGGACCAAGAAAAATTTAAGCCTGCCGTTTCAGAAGGGTACATTTTCGATGATCTGAAACCCGAAACTGGCTCATATGTTACGGACAGTTTTATAATTGATCTTTTATGGATTCTGAGCCAGGTATCGATCCACCTGTTTGCCGAGTCATGCTCGCACAAAGCACCCCGTATATGCCTTTTAAAGACATGCGGCGAATTGTCGTTTATATCGTTATGGCAGTGCTGGTTCTTGTGCAGTTTCTGTGTCCATTTGAGTAGAAATCGTACGGCAAAGCGAAATATCTTGCGACTTATTTGGATGGGCAAAAAATGGCAATATATTCTTAATTGAGCCCGACTGTGATGACACTACTGGAATAATTGAAGGCCTGCGGACGGCTTTGGAGTCGCGGGGGAAAAAATGCGAGAATTTCCACTAAACAGGCCCACATGTGTTTGCACGATTGCCAAAAACCTACAGCCGAATGTTAACGACCGTCAAGTCCCAGGCGTATTGTATGGAAATTATTTATCACATCCACTGGAATATGGCCAAAGTGTGCAGCACATTTTGCCGTTTTTTGCCACATTGTTTTCTGGGAAAGAATTCGACTGGATTCGGGAACCGATTCGCGAAAATCCACCGTCTGTTGCCAATCGAAGCCAGTTTCAAGTTTTTCGGACTAGAAGTTTGTTTTTAGACCGCGACGTTTAAGACGGTTTTATTTAAAAAATGTTAAGTCCGCAAGTTGAACAGAACGCTCTTCACTGTTAAATTCAACGACTGAGGCTCAAACAGCAAAAAAATTGAAAAATTTTAAGCGATTTTCCAGGAATTCTTGCAAATTCCGATGCGTAAGAGAGAAAGTGTTCAATAGGCTGTGGCCCTATTTAGAAGATAAATCGGAAAATCAGTGCCAACCAAATTTTCCCGAGATTTGACGAATTTTCCAGTTAGACAACGTCGCCCAAGGTCACAAATATGCAACGATTGACATTCTATTTAGGGTTTTGATGTTGCCAAGTTACGAAAATTGCTTCAAACCGGGCTGCAAACCTCAAGTTTCAAAGAAACTCAATTTGGACTTAACGAAGATGAAACTGATGAGTTCTTTGGGAGGTTTATCTCGGCGTGGACAACATTTTCTTCCTGACGTTTCGCGAGCACGAATGGTTTGCATCTTCAGACCCATTTTCACTTATTTAACCACAATCCGGTCTGCTTTAGTCGCGTTCTGTTGAATCGACCCTGGTACATCGGCGACGTGCGACAAAGACAGACCCATTTCCATGGCACCCGCAGTGTTATTCTCTGTCTTACCCGAAGCTGCGCTACATCGGCGTGACTACGAGGTGGAGTGGAAACTTTGATCGTCGTTCAAGACACATTGAGCGATGGCAGATTCAAAAACCTACTTAAACCCCAGATATTTGTTTGATTGTTGCACCGAAAGCGCAAAAAAATGAGTCTCATATCCGTTCTGCTTGCAAATGAATGACGCAGGCTTTTCAGTTGGCATAAACATTGCTTGTTCAAGCAACAGCAGATGCTGGCAGGATTGCAACAACACACTTTTCAATCCTCAGATGGGCTTCTTTGCCAACTATCGACACTCGGGGAGGCTTGCAAGCAGATAAGGCGACCAAGATTGAAGGGTGTTTATTTTAATGGGCGACAAGCCCCGAATAGATAAACACTGGGCTGGAAAACATTCGGATAACCATCCTTAATATGGGGGCTGATAAGTACGGTACAAATCTTTCAGCTAAACCCGATCAACGAGATTTATGAACCACCTGAATAATGGGCTGATAAGACACGGGTTTCAGGTACTTTTACTTTGCGCCAAACATGTGTCGAGGTGGAAAACCGCCTTAAGAATTCAAGGTTTAATGGAGATTTCTCCATAAAAAGATGGAATTTGCAGTGGCAACAGTAGACACTGAACAGTGGAGCTGCGTGCATCATCCGATAATTATCTTGGCACATGCCTTAATAGAATCTTCAATCTGACTTTATTGGCCGTAAATTGGTCTTAATCGTAGGCGCAAACAAATAAAAAACACCAGTTGGACTCTGTACGTTGGGGCACAATCTGGTTTCGATTGAACGATAGAGCCGCAATCGTTCGTATTCCTGATAATTGTCCGGATTCGTCCGTTGGCCAGCTGTGCGTTAAATAATGACGATAATTGGATCCTGTTTAGCTACTGGTACATTCTTGGGCATTAATCCAGTTTTCTGCTCTTACCTGCCAGTCCAGTCGCACTCGTCTCCCATTATTGAGGCAAAACTGAGTCCGATCAGGAACGAGTAGAGCACAAAATAGATCGGCCCAGTACCGCATATCGACGACGAATTTGAACGCATCTTACTGCAAACAGCAAACAATCCAACAACGAAACAAGTCACTCAAAACGCACTAGATTCTCATCGGTGATGATGAGGAAAGTTTCGGATCGGCTACCCACCATCATCATACTACATAGAGCAAGAGCGCACTACGCGAACGTTTGCACAGGTCACCGTCCGCACCGAACACACCTCTATAACTCTATGCGCAAACAAGTGGCATGCCATGTTGGTAGTAGGCCTGGTCTGGTACAACAAGTGGTACCATCGGTGGAACGACTACGACCGACTCGGCCCGATTGCAGTTTAACTATTGAAATTGAAATAAATTCCCTTCTTTTTACTGCCCTCTGCGCCTTTAGTAGCGCTCTTTTGTTCAAATGCACAGATATGGTTTGCTTTTCCAAAGGGGGAAGTCGTGCTTCAAATACGAGGGTGGCCAGAAAACTCATTTTGTATGCACAACTCAAACAAAATTGGGTTGCGAAGTGTCACACCACAGGGTAACACTGTGTTGAGTTGCGCTATTGGGTGGATGGGTTGGTCGCTGTCTGAGTTAACAAGTTATAACTCATCGGTGCAAGGCAATTATGCAAGGCAATGCAAAGTCATTTATCAAAGCTTTACGAGACCCGAGACTGGAATTTTCACATGAAAAAAGGGTTTTCTAAAAACCGTTTTACTACTTTGTTCAAAGAACTAAAAAAAGTCATGGAGATTTTCCTTGCAACAGAACTGAGTCCAAAGAAAGTCGACGAGTTTTCTTGTAAAATCGATCTCTTCATTTTTTTGCATAAAAGATTCCGTTTGCCAGTATTTTACAGTAAAACGGTAGGAAAAACCCGGTTTTTCTGTTTAGAGACAGTGTTGTTTAGAAATATTGACCTAAAAGTGAAGAAACCCCAGTTTCCAAGAGTTTTCCCAATAAATGATTATAAACTTTCGCTTTTTCAGTTCGGCGAAATATTTTTGGAAAAAGACCCAGAAATAATTATTAGGGTTTTGTCCCTAATTCGAAGGTTCAAAAAGTTTTCCAAAAATTTTTGCAAAGCGGTTAAGGAGGCGAGTGTTCCAATAAAATGTATGTTACAATTTTCCCCAGAAAATACCTGGAGATTGTCAGTATTTTAAGTAAAACTTAATAATAATGCGATTTTTGAGTAGAAAGAATTGCTTAATAGAAACTTTTGTAAAACCGGAATAAACTGAAAATTTGAAGGAACTTTAAAAATATTCAGAGCGATGAGGGCGGCGAATTTTCCAAATCATTTTTTGTAAACTTTTGCTCTTTCGGTAAAAAACTGAATAAAATAATTTGGTTTTTGTGACACATTTGAAGCTGAAATGGGTTTTCTAAAGTTCCCTGCAAACCGATCAATGCGGCGAATTTTGTAGCAAAATTCGTTTTGTATATTTTGGCTGAAACGATCCCATTATTCAGAGAAAATCATCAAAAAATCATTGTTTTTTGCGCTTTSGATTAAAATTTTTGTGATCGGTTTTGRCGAAAACCTTACTGGTTTTSGGGCAAAACGGGAGGAATTTATTTWCGTTTTTGTCCCGAATTGGACGCTGAAAAAARTTTTCGKAAAATGTTTACAAAGCTCTAAATTTATCTTGTAATTTTTCGCGTAACAGACCTCCAGATCGGCAGTATTTTTAASTGAAACTCTGCAAAATAGAGCGCGCTTGAATAAAATGWAAAGCAAAAAAATTCAGTCAAAGCTAAAAAACTACATAAAAAAAAACTCTACATTCTTCAGAGCAATGGAAGCTAAAATAATCTGTTACAAACATTCGCTTATTCTGTTCGTTTTTTGATAGAAAATMMTTTGATTTTTGCTCCAAATTCGACGCTGGAAAAGGATTTYAAGACTTTTTACAAAGCGACGAAAGATTGGAAATTTATTTCATAATTTTTCGCGCAAAAAACCTTAAGATTGTCAACATTTTTATGTGCGACTAGAAAATTGAGGATTTAGTAGAAAGAGTAACTTGGCTAAAACTGAAAAAATTTGAAATTTTTAAGAATCTTTAAAAATACATATTAGTAATAAGTGACCCTTACAATAAATGTAAAAACAAGAAAAAAAGTCCTCAACATTTTTCAACAAAAAAGCGCATTTATAGTGATTTGCTTTTCGGGATCGTTTTGGTTGATGTGTTACTTTCGTGAAAATTTGGCAACCGTTTCTGTATGTTATAAAGAATTTATATAGAACGGAGCCTGCTTTCTTAAGCAAAAGTTGCCGACTTTATTGAGCGAATAGTGGACGGAGTGCACGACTATATGTGTGCTAAGAATTTGCTTAAAACAGGCGAGTTTTTTGGGGTTATTTCCAAAAAAAGGGCGTCTACCTGACCTAAAATACATTAGAACTTGGAGGCTCAAGTTGTGCCGACTCTTCGAACACCAGACTGGACGCGAAAAACCTTCTAAAATTTCCGATTATTCACTTGTTTATTGATATGCAAGCTCCAAACACTATCAAAGCGTTAGCAACTCTAATTCTCAGTTTTTATCATATATTTTCTAATAAGCATCAATTCTTAATCATGGGAACTTGCGGAAGGCGAAAGCCCTATTCAATTATCGTCAATTAATCAATTTTTGATCCGATAAAATCCATAGTTGTTTTGAATCGCCCCTGGTAAAGCGGGGGCGTGCGACAAGAACAGGCTGATTTCCATGGCAACCGCTCTGTTTTTCTCTCTCTTGACTGAAGCTGGACTGCGTCCGTGTGGTTACGGGGTGCAATGGAAACGTTGATTCTGCTCCACGCAATATCTGTCGCATTATCGACTCAATTTTCAGTGGTTTTGGTGCATTTAATGAATTTGAAGGATTTATTGTTGGTTGTTGAAGGGGCGAGAAACGGGTCAGACACATTCCATCATCAATGGATGAAGAAAAAGTGAGAGCTAAACAACCGCAGGAAAAACGGCTAGAATTCCAAGTGGGCAAATTGAAAAACTTAATAACGAAACTAATAAGAAACGTGTTAACCATTAAGTTAAGCCGTGGTGACCGATTGGTTGATTGATTGATAAAAACCGGGAATCGATATATCGGACAAGATGCAGTCGAGCGCGAAATTTCGCTCCACTTTAAACATTGTGATTATGTACAGAATGGAAAAAAACACGGGCGAGCTGTCGATTTTACTGTAAAAGAGAGCGCCATTTGGCTGGAGGAAAATGCGGTTTTCTGTGGTGCAATCACCCAGAGTGAGCCATTGCTGGCGCGAAACAAAAGGAACCCACCTACTGGTTGTGTTAACACGAAAAACAAACAGCGACCACAAAATGGCTGCTCCATTCCCAGTACTGTTTCCCTGTTTGATTAGCACTTATTGAGCAAACGGAAAAATAGGCACTTGAGTGCGGCCCCGTTCGAGTACTGGCCGAGGTGTTAAAAAGCCGTGAAACGGAAAGAACGGCCACTTTGGATAGTTTTGGAAATTAGGAACCACTCGATGGTGTTTGCGTGCGCTTTTAACATCCCAGAAGAGACTTATTAAAATTACATTTTTATTAGTGGAACCCACTCGATCGGATTTGCACTGTTCGCCCAGTGTTTTTTCAGCACCGTTTTATTTAATCACCCACTGAGTTGATGTGAACTTATCTTCTTAGGTGATTAGTTTTGCGAAAGGGCCCATGAATGTTTTATTTTTGCCTCAGCTTCAGTCTCTCCAAATTTTGGGCATCTTTAGACAAATCTTGACTCTAAAAATGSTGAAAGTTCACCAAAATCTACAGACTCCAGATTTTTGCCAGCYCAAAAAATATCGAACTGAAACTGAATGGTTTTTCGCTAGAAAAATTTGCTTCAAATTTTCACCATCTTTAGCGGACATTTGGGTCTAAAGGTCGTRAAGGTTTCAWCAAAATCTACCCGATTTTTGCAGGCACAAAAATTTWGTATTCCAGTAGAAATGGCACAMATTTTCAAAAGTCCAAATTTTCGTTTTCCAGCTTTTCCTGTAATTTTTGCAAAATTTTTAAAATCTACCTCAAAATCCAATATTTCAATTGAGCACTATTGTGTTTGAGAATTTATGAAATTTTATCAAGCGCCGTTACTAAAGCGAATTTTTTGTATTTGAGTAGAAAGTGGGCAGATTTTCAAGACTCCGAAGTKGCAGATTTGCAGAAAATTTCATTGATTTTTGGGATCTTTTCAAAAATTACTGGACAATCGAGTGTTTAAATGGGGCTCGATTGYTTTCAAAAATTCTTCAAATCTTATCAAAGGCARAGAATGAAGTGGAAATTCGACATTTTCGTAGRAAAAGTGAAAGTATTYAAGAGTCTAAAGTTTCAGATTTGCACSAATTTTCRTTGATTTTTGGGAAATTTTYAAAATTTACTTTAAAATCGAGTGTTAAAATGRGCCGCGATTGTTTTCAAAAATCCATCAAATCTTATCAAGCGCAGAGAATGAAGTGGAATTTCGATATTTTCTTAGAAAAGGTGCAACTGTTCCAGAGTTCAAAGATTCAGWTTAGYACGAATTTTCATGGATTTTTGGGAAATTTTCAAAATTTATTTTAGGATCGAGAGTTAAAATATGCCGCAATTGTTTTCAAAAATTCATCAAATCTTATCAAGCGTAGAGGATGAAGTGGAATTTCGATATTTTCGTTGGAAAGGTGCAAGTGTTCAAGAGTCCACAGTTTCAGATTTGCAAGAATGTTCGTTGATTTTTGGGAAATTTTCAAAATTTACTAATCGAGTGTTTAAATGGGGCGCGACTATCTTTRAAAATTCATCAAATCTTGTAAAGCTCAGTTAATAAAGCTGAAATGTAGTATTTTAGTAAAAACTGTGCAAATTTTCAAGCTTCCGAGGATTCAGATTTACGATTTTTTCCGAACTAAAGCAACAATAGCATATCTTYCAMAATAAMGCAAGAAGCGCCATCAAAATTTCACCATCTTTAGACAAGGCGTGGCTCTAAAGATGCTGAAAGTTTCATCAAATCACTCGGGAATTTGGATTGACAGATGAATTCGCATCTGTAAAACTAAGGCAAGTAGCGACTTCAAAGTTTYAWCAYCTTTAGACAARACTTGGCTYTAAAGATKCTKAAAGTTTWATCAACAACTTTGAGAATTTGGAAATTTTCCAGTTCAGTGAACATTGRACTCAAAATGAATATTTTTTGCCATTGCGCCATCTCCTTTCAAAATTCGCRCCTTTCAAAATAAGGCAAGTAGCGACTTCAAAGTTTCCCCAWCTGTAGACAAGAYTTGGCTTTAAAGATACTGGAAGTTTCATCAACAGCTCCGAAAATTTCGAAATTTTCCAGCTTAGTGAACATTGGACCCAAAATTAATATTTTTTTGCAATTGCGCCATCTCATTTCAAAAATCGCATCTTTCAAAATAAGGCAAGTAGCGAATTCAAAGTTTCTCCGTCTGTAGGCAAGATTTGGCTCTAAAGATGCTGAAAGTTTCATCAACAGCTCAGAAAATTTCGAAATTTTCCAGCTTAGTGAACATTGGACTCAAAATTAATATTTTTTTGCAATTGCGCCCTCTCCTTTCAAAATTCGCATATTTCAGAATAAGGCAAGTAGCGACTTCAAAGTTTCCCCATCTGTAGACAAGATTTGGCTCTAAGATAGAGGCTCTAAAGATAATGAAAGTTTCATCAACAGCTTCGAAAATTTCTAAATTTTTCAGCCTAGTGAACATTGGACCCAAAATTCATATTTTCTACAATTGCGTCATCTCTCAAAATTCGCAGCTTTCAAAATAAGGCAAGTAGCGACTTCAAGGTTTCTCCATCTGTAGACAAGATTTGGCTCTAAAGATGCTGAAAGTTTCATCAACAGCTCCGAAAATTTCGAAATTTTCCAGCCTAGTGAACATTGGACCCAAAATTCATATTTTTTGCAATTGCGTCATCTTTCAAAATTCGCATCTTTCAAAATAGGGCAAGTAGCGGCTTCAAAGTTTCCCCATCTGTAGACAAGACTTGGCTTTAAAGATACTGGAAGTTTCATCAACAGTTCCGAAAATTTCGAAATTTTCCAGCTTAGAGAACATTTGACGCAAAATTAATATTTTGTTGCAATTACGTCCTCTCCTTTCTAAATTCGCATCTTTCAAAATAAGGCAAGTAGCGACTTCAAGGTTTCCCCATCTGTAGACAAGATTTGGCTCTAAAGATGCTGAAAGTTTCATCAACAGCTCCGAAAATTTCGAAATTTTCTAGCCTAGTGAACATTGGACCCAAAATTCATATTTTTTGCAATTGCGTCATTTTTCAAAATTCGCATCTTTCAAAATAGGGCAAGTAGCGGCTTCAAAGTTTCCCGATCTGTAGACGAGACTTGGCTCTAAAGATGCTGAAAGTTTCATCAACAGCTCCGAAAATGTGTAAATTTTCCAGCTTAGTGAACATATAGAAAACATTTGGCTCCAGAAATGATGAAAGTTTCATAAAAATGCTGATAAATGTGGCGATGTGTGACAACTACTTCGTAGCTTATTCGCACTTCCATTGGCTTACAAACATGATTTCAACACAACGTTTCGGTTGATAGTATCTCCACCCATTTTCAGCTTCCACCTGGTATCTGTAACCCTGCAAGCTCAGCATAGTCTAGCGCTTTCGAACGATTGTTGATTCGCTTTGGCCCTATTAATCATCATTTCAAAAAACTACAGAACCGCTCAAGACGGGCCAAAGTATTTTTTAATAGTTCAGATTCCTATTTCGTTTTCGATAATCGGCGGCGATTTAGCGGCAAAATGCAAATGTCCTACAGGATGATTGGCGCATTATTTCAGCCGTTTTGAGCATATAAATAGGCCCCGTCGTCCAGCCATGGAGGGTCAATCAGTTGGCTGGGTTTACACCGCATTTCGCCCATCAGCGGGCGAAAACCGCCTAGAAAGACCCTTTGGTTCAAGCTGAAAGTGGCAAATTGTTGGCAATTGAGCGGTTGATTTGGAGTCGACATATACTGGAAGGGCAGTGGCTTTTAGGTCGAGAACTATCCGCAGAAACATGCCCAGTCATTTAGCGCATACCTGTCCAAATTTATTCCTCGGTCATTTTTTGTGGGTTTGCAGCCCGGGGGGAATTAAAATATGCGGTTAAAGTTACGGACGAAAGAGCATGAAGACCGCTGTGAGCTCGTGTTTTAAATGAATTATTATGGCCGCATTCAATACTGAGGAATGACTGTTCTGAGCGCGTCTTCATGCCTCCACACTCCGACCAATCTATTAGCATCAGATTGACGAAATGACCGCTGCAAAAGCCTTCGTGAGCGGCCATCATTGTCTCAAATTAACACCTCAACTTGTCAAGTGTCTCTTTGGCGCTCTAAAAGAACCAGAGAACGGCTTTAGGTGTTTGTCTTCGTGCTTCGGATCGCATGGAACGTGATCGGATGCCTGTTTAAACAATTTGAGGATATTTTTTTAA